TCTTAGAAACCAGGACGATGGATAAAGTCCAAAAACTCAATATATCAGTGTGTTATACACCATCGTCAGAATCCTATAGTAACTACCAGTGGAGACTGGTTGTAGAGGGGCCCAAGGCTCATCCAGGACTACAGTGCCAAGTGATAGGTAGGTAGGTAGGTAGGTATATATTTTCTCTTTAAATTCACTACTTATTAAAATTCTTAACAAAACTTACTACTTCTACAATATTAGTTATCTCCATAAATACAAATCTGTGATCTAACAAAGTGTTGCATAATCTCTATGAACACAAACTAGTCATCTAATAATCTCATGTACAAATCTCCTTGCACAGAAATCTGTTATCTAACAATCTTTTGGAACAAATCTCCAAGAACACAACTCTGTTGGACAAAGCATGGAACAGATGCATACACACCTTCAACACCGGTCTTCTCTTCCTTAACATCTGCAACTGGCTCCTTATCTTTCAGATCTTCATGCAGCTTTTTAGTGCTGGAAAAGTAAACACATAATTACTGCAATAAATCTGCATTAAGAAATCACGGCTGCGTTTACAATGATTGGTTCAAAATTTAAAAGTATATGTTTCCCAGAACACAACTCTAAACTGTATTAAAAACTGTTCATTTTCCACTCTAAGGTTTGAGGAGAAAATGTTTAGTACAGTGGTCCTGAACTTGGTGTATGTGAAGCCTCATTTATCTCGTAAGCTGTCAACACTGATGGAAACTTTATTTTTGAAACATTTTCCTGTGCATGTTCAAAACGAAAAATTCCTGACATGATTATAATAAAAATTATATGCAGGCCCAATTTGGAATAAAATTTAACACCCCCAAAGAAAATGAGCAACTTGACTGAGAAGGGTTAAAAATACTTATCTGGCAGATTACCAAAATTTGTTTCTTTGGTAAATAATTCCACTGCATAAAATATTTTCTTCCTCTATGAACTACAGAAATAGTCTACCGTATATAATTATGTATCAACTTTGCATTGCTGACTGCACTGTAAAGGATCACATAAAATTCTGCAAGAAACTTATTGCTCCCATCTTCTGGGTGAAGAGCAAGCCAAGAATGGAAAAAGAGGTACGTACACAGTGAGAGGGTGAATGGTACTACGATGGTCATTTTCCTACGCTGTCTGCACGATGAGTATGAACTGTCATATTTATAGATCCAAAATGAGATCAGGCTGAACCTGGAGCCTTCATACCCAAACCAGCACATCCAACACAAGACTGACATAACTGCAATTTTTCACTGATTCCATTTGAACTTCTCAGAGGAACCTAGTGCCTCCACCTTCAAGGGCCCAATGATGCCTAAGTGGCACTGGAAAATCTTACCAGCAAGCAGAGCATACACTCACCTGTCCTCATGTACAGGCTCCTCGATCTTCACATCTCTCGACAGTAACAGAGATGAAGGCTCCTCCCTGTGGGAAGGCAGCATTCGAGGTGGAGGCCGTCCTGGTATACCTGGAGGTGGGCCTCCAATGCCGATAGGTGGGCCCAACCCCATACCTTGACGATCACCCCATTCCTCCACCCATCCACTCCTTCTATCGGCAGCTGGTGCCCAGTCCCCTCCTGGTCCAGGGAAGCAACCCCATTCCCCCTCCATGGGTGGCATGGCATGAGGCATAGAATGAGGCATTGGAAGTGGTACATCTTTGTCACCCCACTCTCCTCTGTGGGCATTCTCCCATTCCGGTGGTGGTACCCTCCTGGGAAATGTGATGAATTACAAACTGTGTTTATATACACATACAGACTTTCATTAAATGTTGTCTGGCAAGACCATAATAAAGCCTGGTTTACATGAGGCCATACATGCACCTCCCCTTGTATCTCATAAACTGCTGAACAGATGTTCTTGAAATCTGAAACAGGAAATTTCACTAACATGCAATCATTATTCCAATTTCTAAGCAAGCTTAATGAAGGTCAAAGAACAATGCTGGACACTCTGTGTACTGCATTATGGGCTACACCCCTCTCCACCCTCCTCTAATTTTTCAAAACTATGTCTTCAATAAAACAAGATTAATGCTGCTGCCTTCTGGGTTATGGCATTGTATTACATAACATTCTTATGGATAAATTACATAAATATGGTGTTTGTGGTATTCCACATATGTTAATTAAATCCTATCTAGCAAACAGAACACAACAGGTGAAAATAGCACATATGGAAATCAACGAAATGAAGGAATATTTATCAAGTAGCCTTCCAATTAAATGTGGAGTCCCTCAGGGATCGGTCCTTGGTCCATTACTTTTTATTTTATATATAAATGACTTTCCTCACCTAACACAAGGTAGGTCTATAATGTATGCCGATGACACTTCAATATTGAATATGGGAAAAGATATAAATGAACTCCAATATACAGGATAGGGTGCAGAAACTTCCTTTTTTTGAAGGTGAATAAAAGAAAAATTATTACTGATAGACAAAATTTATGTTTAGCTAATGAAAGAACATACTTTAAAGTTTTAAATCATGTAGTTTTAAACAAAATATCTTGAAGGTGGTGACCACTGTTCTCTATGCACTGATACGACCGTTTTCTGAAGTTCCCCTCTGCATGTTCCAACATGTGCACCGGAATATGGGCTAGTTCCTGCCAAATAACATTCTTCAGCTGAAGCAGACTTGCGGGGCGATGTTTAAAAACATCTGCCTTGAAGTATCCCCATAAAAAAAATCACAGGGCGTTAGATCAGGTGAGTGCGCTGCCCACGGGATGTCACCTTGAAGCGAGTTGAGCCGTCCTGGGAACTTTGCCCTCAAAACTGTCATCAAAGCTTCGGCTGTGTGGGCCGTGGCACCATTCTGTTGGAACCAGACATTTCCCAGATGCATTTCTTCAAGAGCTGGTTCGAAAAAGATCTCAAAATCGACTGTCGAACTGCCTCCATATTTTCTGGCATCGTAACGGTCCGTTGTCATCCTGATGATTTTTTCAGCACACTCCTGGTTGTCCTAAAGTTCTCTACCCACAAAACAATCGCCTTCCGGTCAGGAACCAGACCTCTGGGCTTAATTCCGAAGTGAGTACAGAACGCATGCTGCACCGCCACGTAGGAATGGATGTTCGAAAAATAGGCTTCAACAGCAAATGCACGCTGCTCACTCGTCCACCTCATGTTTCCTACTGAGGGGTATTAGACAGAAACTTCCGCAATTGTTGTGTTTGCCGAGCCTATCCCCACTTTTCGGTGACCTCCCCTCCCTTCACAATGTGTCTTCACAAAAAGGAAGTTTCTGCACCCCTTCCTGTATAACTTCAATTAATATTGGAGTTGTGGAGAAATACTTTGAGATGAATGATTTATTCATTAATCCAACCAAAACGCACTGCATCTTTTTTCAGACAAAGCAATGTAGGCAGGACCATAAATATAAAATTTTAATCAAGAATATGGAAATAGAAAACGTTAAAAGTATAAACTTTTAGGGGGTAGTACTAATTGACAGCACCTTGAGCTGGGATGTTTATATTGATAGAACCTGCAGTCGAATTAGCCACAACTTATTTATAATAAACAGACTTGCTAAAATACTTGACCTAAAGGGTAGAAGAATGTTATATTATGGTTTGAGCTATCCCTTTCTAACATATGGAGCTGTAGTAAGGGGACACAGTGCTAAGGCACTTACTAAAAGAATATTTATTCTTCAAAAAAGAGCAGTACAGTACACTGCAGGGCTAAAACCTTTAGAATTGTGCAGAGATAGTTTTAAACAACTTAAGATTTTAAGAGTATATTCGTTGTACATACAACAAACCATCTTATATGTAAATAATAAGTGTAACTGCATAGTAAATAAAAAGTACACACACACACACAATACAAGAAACAACAAAGACTACCATAAATGGGCGCATAACTTAGAACTTCATAATAGTAAACCTTCAGTTGCTGGTTGTATCTTTTATAATAAATTACCTAATAATATTGTGATGTGGATGGCGTAGTGGGGGGTGGGGGTCGCATGAACTCTGTGATCTCGCGAGTGACATCACATACCCCCATTCCGCCCATCAGTGTGCAATGCTCGGTAGACACCCCTTTCCCCGCAGTGACGTGGCAGAGGAGTGGTGGCACCAGGCAACCATTGCCGTGGTGATGTAACACGGGATGCCACGGTTGCTATGCAGCAGTGAACAACTCCCGACAGAGTTACTAGGCTATCGGCAAACATGGCGTCAGACAACAGCGGTACCTATCACGTAACTGTTTTCTGTCTTTCTGTGCCGAGGCTAAATAAGGAGCAGCGAACACTATTCAACAGTTAGTTACGAGTTAGCTAGGGAGTGAGTAGTTAGTCAGTATTCAATTAGTAGTTAGTGAGCAGTGTGTGATCAGGAGTGACACAGTTAAAATGCAGCACCCACCGAAGACAGTTAAAATGTAGCTGTCGCCGGAGACAGTTGAATTGAAACAGTCGCCGAGTTCAGTTGTAGCAGAAAGAAGAATACCGGAACATGTGATTAGAAGTGATAGTGTGAGAAACAGATGCTTGGCTCACAAGAGAAATAATTGGGAGTGTGTGTGATACAGTGACACTTATATAGCTCCCGTATCGTACTGTGAATACGTGTAGACTATTGAAGATAGAGTGAATAGAATATTGTGTAGGATTTGTAAATTGTGGAAACCCATAACAGTGTTATAATTAACTGTAGCCAAGATTTGTAGGTTGTTAAATAAACCAATTAACAATCCGAACGGCGTCTTCAGTAGGAAAACACGTTACACTGGTGACAGAATTGTTTACAAACTTAAACACGCCACAAACAAATTGTTGTGCATCAAGTATTTTACTGCTACAAAATGCAGATGCAGCAGATGATGGAAATGCTGGCAAGAATGGATGCCAACATAAAATCCAACGAAGAAAAGGTGGAAGCAAATAGGAAGACTGACAGAGAAGATTTCCTGGCAAAATTAGATGTCAACCAAGAAAAAACCGACGTCATGCTGACAAAATTAGACGCCTACCAAGAAAAGGCGGCGGCTGATAGGAAGGCCGACAAGGAAGAAATGAAGGCCAAAATGCGATGTATGCATTCAGAGTTGGATGAGACACTCCAACATAAAATGGAAGCGATCAGAGCAAGGACGGAAGTCAAGCGAGAAAATATGGGTACCAGCCACGTGGAGATGGTGTACGCATTTAAACCCTAAGTAGAGGCAGAGACCATAGCTGCAAAGAGATGGAGGCACATCTAGTAGAAGAAAAGCCGGCCTCAATGGCCACAAAACCTGCGCGGAACAACAAGAAGAGGTCCCCACAGTGATACCGGTCATAGAACCTGAAGAAGAAACAATGGATACAAGAAAAGAGACAATGGCCTGCCAAGAGATGGAGGCATGTCTAGAAGAAAAAGAGCCAACCTCAGTGGACAGGAAACTTGAGGTGGCCCAACAACGAGAAGTCCCCAATGAAAATGCCATAGTGAAACCGGTCAAAGGACGGAAGAAGTGGTATAGGGGCAAGAAGCAAGCTGCAGGGCGACGTGGAGAGCCACAGGAACTAACCCGAGGAATTTGTGGACCCCAGATGAAGTTGGCTGCCTCCTGCAGGAAGGTGTCCCGCCGTGCAACAGTGGCATGGCACAAGAGGAACATCCTCAGAAAATCTTCGACTCAAAGAAATTGTGAACCGAGAAAAGAAGTGACCGCCAGCGGAATGAAGATTACAGAGGAGAATAGATGTTGGAAGTGTCCTCAATGCAACACTGGCATAAAGGACAGGTCTGAAACAGGGACGAGTCAGCAACCAATTGAAGGACCCAACCAAGAATGTCATCGGAGGGTGTAGATTAGGACAGCAATCGCACCTAGGAGGGAGAAGTACTCATAAGAAGACCTTCTATGAGATTGTCAGCAGGAAGATCGTGAAGCAAACTACGGGATCTTCTGTTGGATTACGACTAAACAAAGAATGGAACTTATGGAGGGGCAGGCCCCCTCCAAAGCGGAAAATGAAACAACGGATTGAGGAGGAGAGGATAATGTAGAAGTACCGGCCTCCCGAGGAAGAGTGAATGTGCAACGGATGAATGTGATATAACTGGATCTTCTGGCAAGTTAGCAGGAAACTGCTCAAGACGAGCTGGTCTTAGGAGGGGAGCAGTTGTAACAGAAGGAGAATAGTCGCTGCAGAGGAGTAGCCGAAACAACAGGAGACACAGCAAGCACAGTAACGTGAAGAAAAAGGAATGGGGATGTACTGTTAGGCTGTTCGGGACGAACAACCTTTAGAAGGGAGCAGTGTGACTTGGATGGTGTAGCGGGAGGTGGGGGTCGCGTGAACTCTGTGATCTCGCGAGTGACATCACATACCCCGACTCCGGCCATCAGTGTGCAACACTCAGTAGACACCCATTTCCCCACGGTGACATGGCAGAGGAGCTGCAGTGCCAGGCAACCATTGCTGCGGTTATGTAACACAGGATGCCGCGGCTGCTATGCAGCAGTAAACAACTCCCGACAGTGTTGCTAGGCTATTGGCAAACACGGCGTCAGACAACAGCAGTACCTATCACGTGTTTTCTGTTTTGTCCATGCCGAGGCTAAATAAGAAGCAGTGAACACTATTCAACAGTTAGTTATGAGTTAGCTATGGAGTCAGTGAACCAGTCAGTTGTAGTCTAGCATTTGCAGGCCAAGTAATTGTAATACTGCAGATAGCAGTAGTTGTGAGATTGTACATTGTGTGATTGTAAGAGCGAACGTGCAATAAATTCGCTATATCCAATTTGGCATGAAGTTATTTGTCGTGTCATACACCCAACACGTGACAATATAAAACAACATGAAAATAAAAACCAGTTTATAAGGGAACCGAAGAATTTACTTATTAATGGGTGTTACTACTCAAATGAAGACTATACGAATGATAAATTCTTAAATATTGGATAATGATACATGCTAGCTGTAAACAATCATTATATATTTTGTTAGTTTATTGGTTAAGAATTTACTGTATTTTTGCTAATTTTATAATTTATATCATGTGACATGTCCTACATCAATGTAATCATATCTATAGGATGAATAAACATGAACGAACGAATTATAGTCTGGTATGTTAGTATAAATACTGCAGAGAAACATACTTCCCCCCCCCCACTACCCTAAAGATGGAAGCAGTATGCTCTTCCGAATCAGTATTACCAACTTACCACATGGCATCATATACCAGAAGACTACACTATGAATCTTCAACACTAAACATCTTGAAACTTGTAATGAATAAGGCATCATACAATTCAATATCTTGGGCAGTAAACACATCAACTGCAATGAGATTCCATGCATGTGCACAACTGAACCAAAAGAGACACAAAACATTCAATGATCCAACTAAAAATACCATATATAGTAATCTTGGGTAGGTATGGTTCAAGAAAATTTAGTCACCTGTCACCAACTGAGGGGCAATTAAAGCACAAAGCCACATTTACAGAACTCATATGCTCATGCAATGTAAGCTGTTATATCAGCGTAACACACACAACTTGCCTGCCTCTTCCATCCCACTCTCGGCGACTGTCAGTATAATCTCTCGTCTCCCAGTCTCTGCCCTTTATAGGAGGTCCTGGAGGTCGAGTCTCTTCACGTTCATAGCCTCTTCGCCGCTCTTGTTCTCGTTCGCGTAGCTCACGCTCACGTTCATGTAGTTCTCTCTCCCGTTCTCGATCTCTCTGGTCTCTTTCCCTCGGATCACGCTCCCTCTCACGCTCACGACCATCCCATGGATCACGACCTCGCAACGGTTCCATGCTGTTGCGCCCTTCCCGACGCCTGAAATACACACGTCACTTCATTCATGTAAAATATCCTACTGTTCTCAGGAAAGGCTCCTGCCTATACAATGGACACCGACACACACCTGAGTTCAATAATGTTATACAATAACAACATGCATTAAGCAGTGTTGCTATCCAGAAGTATGCCATGAACTTCTTTTGGCAAAGGTACACCTTGCATTACTGACACAAACACACGTTTCATAGTCATTTATTGCTGCCATCTTCCTCTCCTATTCATAAGTACTACCTACTTGATCATGCCTTCAGCAGACATAACTGTTCTATCTGAAAGAAATTTTCATACACAAAATTGTAATCACAATTTTTGAACACGTATTTTAATGAATATTCAGTAATTCCCTGAGTTGGTATGGTCTAGGCTTGGTTTCATCTAACACTGTTCCACCATCCATAACCATTTATGCTCCTGACATTAGCTCTTCATGTACTCATTGCTTCACAGCAACACCACTGGTCATAATACTGAGCTTCACTGCCTTGCACTGCACTTAACTGAACTGAGAACAGCTGAGTTACTACTCACTCACCAACTGCACAGAACTCAACACTGAAAAACTAACTAACTTCTACTCCTACGTTAAGTACTGTTAGACTGCACTGCACTGAGATCTGACTGGCTTGATACTGCTCCCTTTTATATGCACAGCACTCATAGCAAAGCTCTGAAACCTTCAGAGGCAACCCAAGCCTTCGCTGGTGGCCAAGCGGTTCCCCAGAGGTACCAGAAGTGGGGGGTTTCAACATTTTAACAGAAGTTGATGCCTGCACAAGCCAGGACACACAATACTAGCATGACAATATTCAGTACTGTAATAATATAAGAAAAGAAGTAATACCCTCGCCTGTCTTCTGGAAAGCTCCTGGGATCAATACCAAGACGTCTGTCCACCAAACCACGAGGATCTTCACGCTGCGGTGCAGGATCATCATAACGATTTCTCTCTGTTTGGTCAGAATATCGACCTCTTTCATCTCGACCTGGACCAAAACAGTACAGGGAGCAATTACTTTGAATGAACCTCTTCTGGGTGCTAGTAAAATGAAGATTATCAGATGTGTTCCAATTTTTCAGTGTTACTATTCCACTCTCATGTAACAAATACATATACTGTACATGGCACAGTGTCAAATGTGTACATATAATTATGCATTTTCCATTTTTCACATTCCCAACATATGTACTAAGTATACGGGCTTCTAGTTATACGTGAGTTTGAAAATGTGATTTCATTTTAATGTACTCAATTAATTTAGATCATTTTCAACTAACAGCACTCAGATTCACGCAAATTTCTTGCTGCCCAAATAAGAAAGGAGATGAAGAGTGAAAGTAGTGTACTGTGTGGGTGGCAGAGAAGGAATGCGAGGGGTGAAGGGAATATTTGGACTAGCCACACAATGTCTTCTGTACCACTGTCGCTCTTTGAGGGGATAAGAGAACCCTTCAGTAAAATATTTCCTAATGTCTGATTTATGTAATTTCACCCTCTGAGGCCTTCTCTTTCTGAAACACAACTGTCACATTAAATGAGGAGTACCGGTACAATTTTGGGGCATGGGGTATTCAAGTAGATACAAAACTTTATGCACAGCACAATTTTAACTTGATAAGTACCAGTGGTATCTGTTCATGTCTGTTGATTTGCAATGAAGTAGAGCAGGTAGATTCTAATAGGTTCTGACAATGGTGTACAGCACTGGGTTTTACACCCTGTCCTTCATCTGGTATTTTAAAAACTAGAGAACACGATTGGAAAATTGGATCTGTTTCTGTCCTCAGGTGAGGAGGGAGACACCTACTCTGTTGGATCCCTCAGAAAGAGGTAACCTCATTCAACGGAAACAGATCCAGTTTCCGAAATGTTGTATTCTCTAGCTTTTAGAATACCAGATGATGGGCAATGTCCAAAAACCCAGTAATTCTAAGTCAAGCAGTTGTACATACCTCTCCTGCTGTCGAAAGGACTGTCATATCCTTTGTCATCAGGTGGTGGCCGTCGACCATCTGACTCCCTGTTTCTAGCAGGAATTGGATACTCATGATCACTGTGATTGTCCCTGCTGTCCCTGTCCCGTTCTCTATCTAGGTGAGAACCTCTGTCAAGGCCTCGCTCAAAACTTCTCTCAGAGCCACGATCAAGGGCCCTCTCAGAGCCTCTATCAAATCCTCTTTCTGAGTTCCTCTCAAAGTTTCTCTCTGGGCCTCTGTCAAGACCTCGTTCTAACCCACGGTCACCACCCCTGTCGGATCCTCTGTCTGAACCTCTACCTAATCCCCTATCAAGGCCCCTCTCTGAGCCTCTATCAAGTCTTTCTGGACCTCTACCCAGTCCTCTGTCCAAACCCCTGTCAAGACCCCTCTCTCTGTCTTGACGATCAGCAGGCCTATCCCTTTCAAGACCTCTGTCTCTCTCTGGGCCTCTACTTAGGTCTCGCTCTCTGTCAGGACCTCTATCCAATCCTCTGTTGAGACCCCTGTCACGGTCTGGACCTCGTTCAAGTACCCTGTCCCTGTCAGACCCTCGTTCAAGTCCCCTGTCCCTGTCAGACCCCCGATCAAGAGCCCTGTCCCTGTCTGAACCCCGATCTAACATTTTATCTAGACCTTTCTGCCCTGAATGGAAGTCACCAGAGTTCTTGTTATTCCCGTCTCTACTGCTGCGAGATGTTGGCTGCTGAAGTCCAGAAGGGTTATGTGTCATAAGAGTAAGCAGTGAAGGTAACTCTCGTTCATATTCTCGGGCCTTATTCAAATCCTTCTCGCGTTCACGTTCACGTTCCCGCTGACGCTCACGGCAACGTTCCAGAGCTTCCTCTCGCTCTTTATCCCTCGCAGATTCTCTGTTCTCCCTTGCATTTCTGGCATCCCTTGATAACCTGGGATCAATGTTGTCTCGACTGTCTTTCGTATCCCGGCCATCCCTAGCATTATCTCGGTTATCTCTAGGATCCCTACTATCTCTGATATCCCTATTATCTCTATTGTCTCTACAATTATCACGGGCCTCTCTCCCACGTTCTCTGTCCCTATCTCGGTCGCGGTCTCCATCCACATGGTCTCGACCTGAAATGACAGGATACAAACAACCAGGAAGTTTGAATTATCACATGCTGATTAAGAAGTACATATATCAGACTTGAGGGTCTCACGGTGGTGACTAAAGAGTTCTGTCTTCTGGGATGTAACACTGCGTAGTAAAGTGAAAGTCAGCATTTTTTAGGAACATATCACCTCCATCATCAAGGTTGAAAAGTAAGCCGAGGAACAAACAACATGACGAATGCAGCGAGTGGCACCAGATTACATGGCATTATAACCCAGACGACAACCACTTCAAGAAGTACACAGATACGAATACAAACACAATATATTGTAATGTGTTTCGTTACTGAAGACGCCGTAGAGATGGTTAATTGGTTTATTTAACAATCTACAAGTATCGGCTACAATTAATGGTAACACTGTTACGGGTTTCCACACTTTACAAACCCTACAACAAAATCTCTTAACACTGTCTTCAAGAGTCTTCAAGTATTAATAACGCGGGAGCTATACAAGTCTCCCTGAAATACACACTCCAGATATAACTGTACTACAGCACTCACTATGTCTTGAAAGCACACAATAAGTCTTCCACTCGCTGACTTCTTAGTTATCGCACACTCGCAGGCTGCTATGTTTCAACTGACTCGTAGCTGCTGTGCAGTCCGCTTATATAGCCGTGCGCTGTTGCTAGTGTGACGTGGCGTATAGCCTAGGACGCTGTTGCTAGTGTGACGTGGCGTATAGCCTAGGACGCTGTTGCTAGTGTGACATGGCGTATAAGGTTGTGGGGACTCGGCTAACGTCGGCTCCGCTCGGTTCACTTCGGCTCCGCTCGTGACGTCACCGCGGGGAGAGTTGCGGGGTAATTACTCGCCTATTACACGAGCGCTACGTTACCACTACATGCAGCTGGGTAGGTAGGGATCAACATGTCACAATATTTTATGTAAAAAAATAAAAGAAAAGGTAAAGTTGTCCCTGTGCTTAAAAGCACTAAGCCATGAAGACATATGGTGGGAATGGCTGTATAGATCCACGTTTTCTTGACCTCGGCATTAGGTGAAGGTGAATGGTGAGCTTCATGCCCCAGCAGCTCTAACCCCAGCACCCATTGTGTTGGGGGATGGGTGGGACCCAGAGCCTGTGTGGACAACACTGAAATTCTTCATCCCACCAGGACTTGAATGCCAACTTCTCAGTCACCTAGTATGGTGCCAGTCACTGTACCGACTATGCTATCCTAGCGCTGACATAATGTTTCAGAAACTGGATCTGTTTGTCCTCAGGCGAGGGGGAGAAACACCTATGCTTTTCATAATTCTTTACCCTCACTTTCTTCTGCATAGTTTGATAAAGTAAATGTACCGACGTGCCAGATTAAGAACCATGTCATAAATATGTGTGGGGCAATACAAGATGGAGGTGAGTGCAGCTTCATGCCCCAGTGACTTCACAATGGAGAATGAGTCCCTGGTTCCCAATGAATATGAGGCTGGGTTAGCCCCTGAGCAAGTCTGTATGAGGCGGCAGATACAAAAACATGTACTTCCAGTTTGGGATCAAACTCCAGTCATCCAGCCCATAGCCAGTCACTATTGTACCAGAGCTGCCGTGGCTCTGGGGTTTACTATGGGGTTTGAAAATAAAAATATACAAGAATTTAGAATTTGCAAATGTGTAGTATAATTAGGTTTCTCTGCATGTACTTCACTAACACAATCGCTTGTAACATGATAGCAATTGTAACATTAAAAAGAAATATCTTATTAAGAGGTAACACAACCTCACAACAGAATTTCTTAACAAATCAAACTTTAAACAATTCTACTCCACACTGAACCAACAGAAAGACTAGAATACAGACCACACATGTGGAGAAAAGTATGCAAAAGATTCACTTCAAGAGCCCTCTGCTTAGAACTGCTCAAGATTACAGACTGCTAGGATGAGATTCCATGTAGTTCAACAGATAGGGGAAAGGGTGGAAATGAATAGTTACCAGTTAAGATACATTACAGAACTATCAACAGGATACTGTTACTTAAAAGGATCCTTGTTCAATTAGGCCACAACCACTTCCTTCCACATTCTTTCCAGTTCATCCTTCATTCATCATCCTATCACTGAATTCCATATAGACTAATCTATGTACAGGGAGATATAATACCACAAAATAAAAATGACTGTGAATACTCGCAAACCATTATTACTGTATTCCTATGATGGACAGACTGCGAGAGTATGGCGCACACAGAGTTGAGAGGATGAAAGGGTTAATCTTAAATTTACTGCACATACTTTTAGGGATGAAGTCTCTGTCTTGTGCTGTCTTCTCTACTATCCCTGGCAACATCTGTGACTCCCTTTTTCTGCTGCTATCTCGAGAAGAAATACTGTCATCCCTGCGGTTGCCAACATCATCCTTTCCAGAACGACCTCCTCCTCCTCCTCCACCTCCTCCTCGCTCCAGTGTCGTCTCCCTAGAACCACGATCCTTTCCACCAAGGCCATCCCGCAAACCTCTGTCTGATACGTCTCCTCTCCTGTTGTCTCGCTCATCCTTCTCTCGCCCCCTATCATGATCCTTCCTAAGAAAACAAAACCAAAGCACAAATTATCCAGCAGTGTGCATTCCAGTAATCATTAGCCATATGGATATAGAAACCTTATGAACCAACTCTAACTTCGGCACCAGATAAACAACCTTGGGTAAATCGAAAGTGCAGCAAGGAACAATAAAACTGTCCCTGCACCTACACATCAAGCCATGAGGTGAGGAGGTGGAGGCAAAACCCCATGCATTTTTAAACTTGACCTTACATAGCAGTGAATGCTAAGCTTCAAGTTCCAGCCACTTTACTATTTGGTAGACAGTGGCTAGAATGCTGGGTCAGCTGCAGGCTGGTTTGGACAACTTGCTGAAGGGCAAAACCTCTGACACCTATGGTGGACAGAACTCCAGCTGTCCAGTCCATAGTCAGTCACTTTACCAACTAAGCTACCCTGGCTTCCATTCAGAGCAGAAATATAATATAACAACATCTTTGAAGTTTGCTTCATGTAACTTAAATACAACTTCACTTAAAATATGCTAAATTAACTAAACACGCCAAGAATAAGAACACTTATTACTGCTGGTAATCCAATGTCTCACCTTGTATCTGCATGTTTTGTCCATGAATCTCTGGTATCTCTAATGTCACTGCGAGATGCATCTCGTCTCTCTGATTCCCTGGGTGAGTTCTTGCCTGCAGTGCGTTTATTGTCAAGGCTACTATCTCGAGCTCTTCCTCCACCAGTACTGCTCCGAGATTTTGCAGGCGAAACTCTGCAGCAACACAACAATTCACATCTTTTCCATTCATAACAAGGTGAAGATGTTCTGTGATAAATTCTAGCACAAAGCTTTACTCTTCTGTCAACTTTTCATCTGTTTTACATGCAGCCCAAGATAATTTTACTCCTGCAACAAGCAACTTAGATTTAACAACACATATGCTTGTATCATAAAGTTACAGTGTACCACTGGTACACAACAGTCAATTCTGTACATAAGCTTTGCTAAAAGTACTTCTTCACTATATATTTTGAACTTGCTTGGTTATCATCAGACCTTATAAAGATTATACTGGCCTCATACAATATACACTTATTCCACAAACCACAACTACCACAGAAATATTTACACACATCTGATGAAGTACATACATAATCCCATCTTAAGTATAAGATTAATTGAAATTAACATTAAATTATTAAAACTGAAGGCCTAAATCCAATAAAATTATGTTATTATTTATATACAATTTATGTTTCATGAATACTCATCATGCAAAGCCTGAAAGCTATCATTTTGTGTGAACAAAATAAAAAAACAGATCATAATCAAGTAAAAAAGGTGAAGGTAACATTGCCCCTGTACTTATTAAGCAAAGAGCCATGAACATATATTGTGTGATGGAGGTCTAACTCCATGCATCCTAACCTCAGCACCAGATGCAATCAGATGAGCAGCCTGTTTACTATACCCAGCTAACCTGGTTCTTCCTAAAGGAGACAGACTACTTCAAATTATAATACTGCTGCAATGATGCTAGCCTTTTATTCATAATTATTTTCACAAAGCTGATTCCACCTTGACAAAGCTGAGTTGCACAGCTGTCACACAAACTGCCCACCCTTCAAGCAACAGCAGGTTATGCGCCCCTCTTCTGTTACTGCCCAACAGAAGGTGTGCAAAAGGTAAGAAGTCCAACTGTCCCTGTGCTCCATGCTATGAAGACATGGGGAAGTGGAGGCACAGCTCCACCATTCTTAAGCTCAGAATTAGAAAGAGGACAGTCATCTACTTAGCACTCCTGCTGCTTTATCTCTGCAGAAACAGCCTCTGGTACCCACTGCACAGGAGGCCGGGTGAGCCACAGGGTCAGTCTGGATGCTATAGAGAAGATAAAAATAACTGGCCCCTAACAGGAATCAAAACCCTGACTTCTCGGTCAACCAGTCTGTAGCCTCCTCACATACTCACTAAGCTATTCCAGGCTCAGGGTCCACAAATTATTGGGGGTGGGGGATGTTCAACACCTTAACCAAAAAATATGAACACGCACACTATACTAGAATGGTAACAGCAAAGTTTATTCAATCTGCACGCTCTTGGCAAATACAGGACATCTGAAGTTCCTTACCTGTAACCTTTATCCTTTGAATTGCCTGAATCCGGAGAACCCTTCTTCCTTGGGTCCTTGGGAGGCCTCGAGTCTCTTCGTGGAGAACGAGATAGGCGATCTTTCCCTTTAGTCTTCGGGGACCGACTTCTCCCTCGATCACGATCTTTTTCTCTCTCACGCTCTCGTTCTTTCTCCTTGTCCTTTTCCCTCTCCCTCTCTTTCTCTCTTTCTCTTTCCTTCTCCCGTTCTTTCTCTTTCTCCCTCTCCCTGTCTCGTTCTTTCTCTTTATCACGTTCTCTTTCCCTCTCACGTTCCCGGTCCTTCTCTTTGCCTCGGTCCCTGTCCCTGTCACGATCACGATCCCTTGCTGATGGACGTGGGGACACACTCCTATTGTGTTTGTCTTTCCGATCAAGGGACAGAGATCGATTTGGTCGTGGAGACTGATGCTTTACGCCTACAAAACAAATTAAGGTGAAACTGACAATTGCCAAAAAACATTAACAACCGTCTTCTGTATTTATTTCAAAACGATGAAGCTTTAAGAATAATCTCAATTTAAAAAATTACATGAAAGCTCAATTCCATGCCCTAAGCAGGCAAAGAATATACTATGTGCCTGAAATATCTTTGGGAGTATGTCATACCCTGGGTAGGCAAACTTATGAAAGAAAAATTCTGTGTTTGACTTGATTTCCGGTATGGCAAGTCTCGTCCCCAATCATATGTTGAAAACAGATTCCAGTAATTTTCTAAGATGTGATGAGATACACCACTCTCTGATTATGATGTACCCTCAATATTTTAGACACAGAACAACATGAATGCAACACTTCATTGCAAGAAAGTTTTCAAAAACACTGCACCAAAAGACAAAGGAGTCTGTTAGAAAATCTCTTATTCATTCTGCCAGATTTGACTGGTTTACGCCAAAGACATCAAAGAGGGCACATGTTGACCATTACAATAATAAGATAAATCTCAGAGTTCCCACATATAAACCAGAAGTGCTTAACCATTTGACTGCAATGTTCAGTGCTTTGTCATGTTACCTGGTTGTTTCACACTGAGCGACGAACGTGACCCAGTAGCAGACTTGCTCTTGCCTCCACTAGAATGCGGTGGAGTCTGTGACCTTCGACGATGCCCACTACTGCTACGTCCTGCAGGAGTAAGCGATCGTCTTCTTGATGGTGGTAACCCTGGTTTTGAGGAAGGAGGCGCTTTCCTTGGCAGTGGTGATGGTTCTCGCCTTTTCGTTGAAGACGAACGCTGGCCATCCCCTCTTCGAACTAGAGGAGCCTTCTTGCTACTAGGTGGGGAACTTCCACCCTTAACTGAGGGCTTTCTGCCCCTGTAAATTTGGGAATAAAAATAACCAAAGGAATTCTAAAGACTAAGAATTTATGCCTACTTAAACTCCAAAGAAGCAACCTGCATATTTTTCCTAAATTGAATAGTTGGCTTTATCATTTCAGCTTTAAAAATGAATCACATTTACCCACAAGTCCTGTCTCATACTACCCCAGATGAAACTACACTCAACTCTCGATTATCTGGGAGCAGATAAACCGGTTTGCAGCTTAACCAGAGTTTCTGGGGCTTTTTTGAGGCTTATATGTTGTTTGATATTCATTCACTTTTGTTTCACATGGTGAGTTGTAACACTATTTTCGCACTAGTGTGAACCGAGCTCTGCATTTTTTGGTCCTGTTTAACTAACACAATGTTCTAGGGTAGGGGTGAAAGAATGCAAGGATTTGTGGAAAGTTTCAAGGGCAGATACACCGCCCCAGTTAGTCTCTTTGTATCAATCTTCAAGTGCGTTAGGAAAATGTCAGGGTGTAAAAGGAAGCGTGTTGTGTTAAGTATTCAACAGAAACTTGAAATTATCAGTCAGTTGGGAAAAGAGGTGTAGTTAAACAAACAGCAATGCAATACAGTATTGGAGAACAAATTTTTTTTCCAAAACACTCGAACTACAAGGAACTTTTGACACTTCTTCCAGTTGGCTAACACGTTTCAAACAGTGTCATGGAATACAAGAAATTAGTATCCAAGGTGATAAACTGTCAGGGGACTTGTCATCATCAGTTCAATTTTGCACCAATTTTGATAGTTTCGTGAAAAGTGAAAATCTGCTGCCAGAACAAATCTATAATGCTAAAGAAACGGGTCTTTATTGGAAATGCTTGCCAACCAGAACTTTGGCATTTCAAAATGAAAGACAGGCTCCAGGTCACAAATCCAGTAAGGAGAGATTGACAGTCTTGTGCTGTTCTAATGCATCAGGAACACACAAACTAACACCAGCAGTTATCAGCAAAGTGAAAAGACCACACTCTTTTAAAGGAACAGTAGCTTCAAGTCTGCCTATCCATTATCTTAATCAGAAAGGAGCTTGGATGAATAGAGCGATATTTAAAGAATGGTTTGATTTTAAATTTGTGCCTCAAGTTCGTGACCATCTAAAATCCCAAGGCCTACCTGAGAAAGCTGTGCTCCTCACTGACAATGCGCCCTCACATCCTAACGAAAGTCTTCTGAGGTCAGATGATGGAAACATTTTTGTGAAATATTTTCCTCGTAATGTTACCGCACTTATCCAACCAATGGATCAAGGAGTTATCTCGAGTATGAAGAGAATCTACAGATCAAATTTGCTACAAAAGTACATCGATGAAGGCAATGATCTGACGTGTTTCTGGAAGTCCTTTTCAGTATTAGATGCCATATACGAGATTTCAACAGCATGGGATACAGTAAAGCCATCTGTATTGAAAAATTCATGGAAAAAACTGATTCGTTTCATCACTAATGAAGATGACAAAATCCTTGGATTCACTGGATTCAGTGAAAATGAGATAGCCATAGAATTGACAAAATTGGCTAACCAAGTTCATGGTGGTGAAGAAGTCAACAAGGAAACTATAAGAGAGTAGTTTGACTGTGACTTGTGTGAGCCGGGCTTCAAAATGTTAAGCAGTGATGAAATCGTAAGTTCAGTGGGGGTACAGCCAGAAGAGCAGGAAGAAAGTGAGAATGAGGAAGAGGTGGACAGTGCTGCTAGTAAGAAAATATCACATGGTGCTGCTCTTAATCATTTGGAATCCTTACTAGACTATCCTGAGAGTGAAGAGAATAGTTTATTAAGTGACAAGCTAATATTACGTAGGCTTCATACAGATATCCATAAAAAGGAAAATGCCGCGAAAAAGCAAACAACAATATTAAATTTTTTTTTAAGTGTTAAGTGTGAATATTCGTATAAAGTGTTGGATGTTGTTGAACACTGTGACTGAAATAACTAATACATACTTCAGTGTAATGTAAAAAAAAATATATTAAATAGGCCATGAGATGACATAAAAATGAGGTTGAATAGATTTAAATACAGGTAGGCCTATAGTATTATGAAGGTACAGTATTACAGTACTGTTTTTAATAAAATTTGTCTTAACCAGGTTTTTGATTAATCGTGATTTCCATTCCCACCATTATCCCTGATAATCGAGAGTTGAGTGTACTTAATTACTCTGACTCCATGGAGCTCTATGAACCATGGCCTCCTTTACAACACACACATCCATTCTTCTCTCTATCATGTGCCTTTTGTTGCATCTTTCAGCTCTCTTAAATATTTCTCTACATCTTCCAGCCATCAAAATCTGGGACTCCCCACTTTTCTACTACCATCTGCCTTACTTCAAAAAATATTCTTAGCAAGTCTCGTCAAAACAAATAAACACGTTAAATTTTAATCTTAATTTTAAAAAATCGGAAGAGACTGGAGGAAATGATCAGTTTCTAGACCAAGAGAAAGACAGATTATCAAAAATGATGTCTGAAAAATGAACTGTTAACAATATACAAAATGCATACATTACTCATTCATTCATTTATTTTACATTCCATAGATCCACAGTACAACGGGTAGGATATGGAACATGTCAAGTGGTACATATATAAAAGACAAATAAGCCAAAAAATAGAATAAAATAAAATGATGACAGAAATGTAAANTTTTTTCTCACGTAAACCAATGAAGCGCTTGAGGCTCCCTTCGGTGGAGATGTGGAGGGGACATTCATATGCAGTCGTGAATTTTTTCCTGCCCGCAGAAAGCATAAGTCGCTGGCAGTCGGCCTATGAGTGAGGACGTGTAGTGAGCCCTCGTCGGATTACCGTAAGGTGTAAAATGACGGAACAACATGAGCAGCGATATTGCATCAAATTTTGCCAAAAGCTTGGCGATACCCAAGTGGAAACCATTCCCAGGGACGATGCCATGAGCAACTCACGGATAAAGGAGTGTTACAACCGCTTCAAAGATGGCCGCACATCAGTGGACAGCGAACCGCGTTCAGGCAGACACTCAACAAGCCGAAATGAGAATGTCATTGAGCAAGTGTGGACTTTGGTCATGGAGGACCACCGTATGACAGTCCGAGAACTTGCGAAAGAGATAGGGATAAGACTTGGATCGGTACATTCAATTTTGTCTGAGGATTTGGGCATGAGGAGAGTGTCCGCAAAATTCATACCGTAACTGCGCATTTGATTCAGACTTTCGTTGCCAAACACAACATCCCTGTGGTTAGTCAGGCTCCCTACTCCCCTGACATGGCTCCGTGTGACTTTTGGCTATTTCCCAAGCTGAAAATGCCGCTGAAAGGAACCCGATTTGAGTCAAGAGAAGATATCATGTGGAATGCGACGGCCCGGCTGATCACCATTCCAAAAGACGCGTTCCAGAAGTGTTTCCAACAATGGCGGGAGCACTGGGAGAAGTGTGTGCATTACCAAGGAGACTACTTTGAAGGGGATTAGGGTTTTGTACCTCCAAATCAATAAATGTATTTCTGCCGACCAAAGGTTCAATACTTTTTGAACACACTATGTATCTTTAAGATTGTTAAATACCCTAATACCCATACAGTACACTCTCGTTTGGTAAACTGTAAGATTTACTGTAGGCAGATAAAATTTATTTGATTGTCCTGTACCTGTATTATGCTATTCTGAATTTAAAATAAAGAGATCCTTGTTATTGACCACAAACAACATGAGTGAAAAAATATATTGTGATGCAAGAGGCAAAATTTCCAACTTCCTAAACAAATTCCTGCATAAAGCCCTGCTCCTATAGCCCATCATAATTCTTATTATTCTTTTTTGCATTCTAAATATTTTTAAACATCCTATTACATCCTATAGGTGGATATCAGGTACTTATAGACTTCAAGAAAACAGTTATCATAATCAAAACACTAATTTGGATAATTAAAATGTATTTAAATGACACAGCAATGTCTTCTGCTGCATCTCTTTTTCACAATGATCTAAAAAGATGTTTGTCACTGTTCCTCCTGAGCTAAAGTTGCAAGTACTGTTTGTTATATTTACAATTCATATACATTATGAAATATGTCATGTTCATCCCAAAGAATATCATTTTCATGCACAAATTATTCAGTCATGAACATTTAAGACATGGTTTAGTCCAACTACGTAATGTGTCCATATCTCATCACCTGCATTACAAACACAAGCAAAAACACTTTCTTTCCTCTAACCACCAACTGTTCTGTTCCCAAACAGTACACAGTTTAGTCATCACATCTGCAAGTTCATCACTACCAGTAGATTTACCACTTTTAATTGTTCTTATGCTAAGGGACTTAGTGGTCTTAGGAATGGTTCCAAGCTCAATCCCTGGTCCAATCTGTATGCAGACCCTTCTGCTCACATACTGAAACCTTTCCCCTACTGAATATAAAACTGTGGATGTCAAGTGCTTCAGACCGAACTTGGTGGTGTTCAGAAAAGTTCAGGGTTCGATCCCCGGCCACATTTGTGTGAAGATTTCACTGCTCACATAATCAGGACTTCTCTACCAAAGACAACCTTTTAATGTAAAGAAAGCAAGACCTTTGTCTCCCAAAAGATCCCCTCAGCTAACCACAAGCCTAGCCATAAATACAACAATCTTTCAGACTGTTTACAATATTGCTTTTGAAAGAAACTTCTTTACCTGCTAGACTTCTTTTTGGACATGCAATCTGTTTCTGAAGTGGAAGAACTTGAATCACGTTTCAGTTTTTTACCCTTCGTTTTCCTCCTTCTAGAATCTGCAGATGTAGAGCTTGAAGTGGAACTTGAATCATCACTGCTCGAGCTTGATTCAGTGGAGCTGCTCGAGGTGGCAGAGGTGGATGATGAGCTGCTGATACCCTGCATCAAGCAAACACAAGAACTATGATGTTGATACGTATCAACAAGACGAACCCTGAAGATGGAGGTAGTACATTCCTCTGAAATATTAAAAACCACCTACCTGGCTGCATGGTGTTACAACCCAGAATATCATGATCCAGGAATGATACTGTTTGCCAGCATAAAAAATGTGATATTCCCTCAGCTTTATCAGAATGTTTCAAGATGCATAGCACATGGTACTATTATAAGTGCCCTCACTGTACATTCACACAGATATTTTGAAGTCTGTATTGCAAGTCTTGGATACTTAAATCTGACTGCAAAGGTAGATGCAGAAGAGGTGTCTTGGTTAATAAAGTTACCATCTTATACATGTTCACCCTGAAGAAGCACCCATTCTTCAGCTTGAATATTGCTGCTTCCCTTGACAATAGCAGCTAAAACCTTAAAGGAGGTATAACACCCAAATAAAAAACAAAACAAAGTTTACTAATATATCAGGAAAAGAAAAAGGGACTACAGACCTGACTCTAAAACTCTACAACAGTAGTTGCACATCACTTGTCTGACACACAAAGTGTCTGTAGCTGTTCTGTATTAAGTTCATGACAGGAAACAACAAACAGGAAGTTACATTTATATATACTGTGATGAGATACTGGTACCTTCTTTGTCTTCTTATCCTTCTTCTGTCTCTGCTGTTCCTCCTTCTCTCTTTTCATCTGCAGCTCAAGTTCTCTCTGCAGTAGTTGCCTCCTCTTCTCCAGCACTTTCTCATCCTCATACTCTAGGTCTGTTTGGTCCCAGTTCTCCCAGTTGAGGTCTGGGCTGTGTGTCTTCTTCACTACTACAGTTGAGTGGAGCCGCTTATTCAACTCATCCTTACTGTTCAATTTTGAATTTGAACTATGACCCTGAAATGAAAACCACAGTAGAATTATGCTCTCAAAAACCTAATCCAGAAGAACTTAAACTAGGAAAGAAAATGTCTTTATCCTGTTCATAACAGCAGAACATTATCACATGTCTTTTAGATCAAAAATTTGAATGAAAGAGAGCTAGAGGACAACCCAGAACAAGATGGTTCACCCAGGTACCAGAGGATGTCAGGAAGAGAGGAAAGTGCTCAGAAGAAATCTACACACAAAAGAGGACACAGAAAGGAGACTTTTCATAAATTGATTTGTATAAAACAGAAATTATGCTGGAAAAAGCAAAACATCCTGCCACATTCCACCACAAAATTTGTTCATTATATTTTAAAGCATCAAGACTTGATTCGAAGCAGTTTTATGGTCTGTCATTCCCAAAGCCTGAGAAACACAGCTCAGGTCAAATAAATACAGCTGCATCTTTCCCTGTAATTTTCTCTTGACAAAGAAACTTTCACAAACCTGCTTTTGTTTAGTGTCACCTTCCTTCTTTGCTGCCCGTTGTTTTGAGGGACTGATCAGTGTATGTGTATTTGCATATCTGTAATGAAACAATACGCACTGTCAGAAATAAACTGGGTAAGTACAGAAACAGGAATTTAAGTCTTACATATGCCAAGCTGACACATCTTGTAATCTCCAATGTGGATATTATGTTCCAGTAAGTATGGGAACAAGGGTAAGCACAATAGATTACTGTAGGGCATGGTGCAAGGGCCAAGAAGGCCCACCCCTTATACATTCACACATTCATGGGAACAAGGGTGCACCACTGTAAGTCAGGCATCTTGACTGTCATGTAATCATCATAAAGTTACTGAACTGTCTTCAATACACTTCCAGCATTCATGCACTGGTGGGAAACCCAGACATGCTTACACAGTGCTTTTCTTCCATACAGCAGTTTACATAATACATGATGTATTTTAACTTGTCACTTACTAAAATAACCTTCTTATAACACAGTATTTTTGGCTGAACACAAATAGAATTACTCAACACATTATCCAAAGAAGTATTTGCATTTGATTTGTTTCATTCTGGTACGTCACACTAACAATATCATGAAATATTAAACAGTTCCATCTAGTGAGACTGGTGAAGATTTTGAAGTAAGAAAAATCTTCACCAGTCACACTAGACGGAAATGTTTAACTTTTCATGAAAAAGTATTTTCATTTTTATTCAATACATACAGACACACTCACACATTCTGATTACAACTGATGACCTAGACGCAAACAACAGAATTAAATTTAGTGACACAGTGGTTAGAGACACAAAAAATGTATATACTTACTTGGTAAGTAGAAGAAATTCATGAGGAAAGTAAATAGAGAGATGAATAATAGCATTCCATACAGTTATACATTTAATTAAATAAAGAAGCGATATTATGGAAGAGAGAGACCCCAGAACAATGCAGAACAATGCACAAAATATTTTAAACAAACATTAAATGCTGAAACAAAGAGAAGCAACAGCAAAATCAAAGCAACAGATATGAAATTTTTGTAAAGTACTGCAGAAAAGAAAAGAAGGAATGGAATTAGATGTTAAATTTTTAGACAATCAGAATTCATAATCTGTCAACAGAGTTCTAACAGAAATAACTACAATGTTTTGGTCACATAAAATTGGACAGATCAAGGATAATGATATATGATTGAGAATTAAAATTTAAAGGAAACAGACCTATAGAAAAAAAACAGAACAAGGTTGAAGGCGTCAAGAAGAGAGACAAATTCTGGCAAGAAATCAAAAATGAAAGATAGATGAGACTGGAAGCATGTCATCCATTGACACGTGTAAAATAAGAAACATACCAAAAGATGAAAACTTGAAAAACATCACCAAAATACATTTATAGAAACTAACCCTTTGTCATATCAGTGGACTGACTGATCAACTTAACAAGATTCTCCCTGTGCCCCTGATTACTATAATACCTTCAATAAATCATTCAAGATGGCAATCTATTAGAGGCAAACTGTGTTGACATATATTAGTCTGTGAGATGTTACTGGATTACTCTGATGTTACGATTGGAAAATTCAGAGTGCTACACTGGCTATAGTCCATTGCCTAAGATAAATCGGCATACATGACACTAGGCCTCTGGTAGTCATGCTGACAGAACCTTTTATTCTTATTCTTTTAGTTTAAGATTGGTATTAGCCATTGAGATCAAAGTAGGTACATTTTGAATACTACACTACAAAAACCACTAAATCACCAGTGAAGTGTTTATATACTTACTTGCAATTCTTTCCATATGGACAGTTCCCATTTTGGGCCCAATGTCTGCAAAAATTATCACTGTTACTCTGGTTAGTTCCACTGGAAGTTGTTGCTTTTGTTCCCAAACGTTCAAACACACTGGGTCTCCTTTGTGAATCCTTATTTTTATTTACGGTTGTTTCCACTGTTATCTTCCTCTTTGTTTGTTTTGACATGTTTTCTGGCATACTAAATCTGAATAAAATGTTTCACATTCACCAGAAACCTACATTTAAAAATATATTCAGCTTCGAATAGAAGATTCTACATACAGTCACGGTAAGTTGCAAGGATGTTTAATCTATGATGGTCACATCGAGCATTTACGACAACCCAGTCTTGAACAAGATGCCCAATTATACTGCGGTGTACTACAGATTAATAATTTACTAGCTGTAAACAAGTTGCAAATTAACATGTAAACACCGCTCAATACAGCGATTAGGCAGCAGCCATACTTCTGTTTACCATCACCACCAGACCGCACCAGACCCGTAGGATCAGTACTATGGGGCCGTAAGTACTGGTACGTACGGAGCGAAGGGGAACGGACAGCAGATCAACTACATATGTACGTATATAGATGGCACCAAAGTGTATGTCATTGGTATTCCTTGGACATGCATGATGCAACCAACTTTCTTGTCCTCAAATTTGGAACACGCAGGAGACAGAATGCAGTGCCATTGTATGGGCTTGGAGAAACAAGGGCAGCATAGATTTCGAAGGCTTCGAAGGTGTAGTCGGTATCAGTCGGTATCGTCGGTATGGTCGGTATGATCAATAACCACTTTTCCATATTATCTCCACTTCCCCCAGTCACACCGTGCCAGATCTTTTTCCACAAAACACCATCCGCTATCAACAGAAAGACCGAGATATAGTGATGGAAACAGGAATTATATGTGATGTGAAGAAAATATGACTACCAAAATTTAGGTTAAATTACTTTTCAGAAATGTATTAAGTGGGAGTCCAAACCATCCAACGACGTCTGGTATGTACATATTTCTACCATGTTACAGTCAGTGATGAATTTGAGGTTCTCACAGCGGTTGTAATGTCAAGTAGTTCAGTAGCAGTATTTAAGAATGTTCTACAAAAGGCCGGATGGACATTGACTAGGTCTTGTTTGTATCTGCAATTATTTTTCACAGTAAAAAGGAAAGGTATCGGTGAATTGCGTGAAAGGTGCGAGCAGGTGCGAGTTCCGTGGTGTAGAGTTGCATGTCTGTTTCTTGATCATTCTTGATCCTTGATAATCCGTGACTAATGGTGAATGCGAGTGTGTGTTTCTGAAATTGGCAAGTGTATTGTACTGTGATGTATATTTGAGTGTGGAGCTACTTCGTATAAGTGACAACCTGAGGTCCAACAATACTGTTTTACATTTATTTGCTGCTCTTTTCCTAAGGAAATAGAGTAGGCTTATGAAATCACGTTGGCTGTGTGTGTGTGTTTCTTTATGTCCCCGCCCCACCGTGCATTTTACACAATTTTCATGAAACCCGGCATTAAATTTGTGTTTCTAGATGTCTTCCCATACTCATGCATTTGGGGATTACAAAATGGTTGACTCATATATTCATAAGGTACGAGAAATACCCATCACGTAATATTGTTGCCTGAAGTGGCATGTGGTAATAGACCTTCGGAAGATACGTAACTCTTGTTACGGTAATTTTACAGGAAACAAAGTAAGAACGTGCTGGATGCATTTACTGTATTGTCTAATGGCAAATGAACTGTTCGAGCTAGCCATATGAAGTGACATAAATCATAAACGTAATCATTAGTTCCGTATGCAGTATTGTCTTAGAAACACCGATATTACGGTATGCCTTTAGTAGGCATGCGTATGGAAGAAAAGCCCATTGTATTCAAAAGGGCCTCAGGCATGGTGATTTTGGTTACTATTGTATCATGAAAACAGAATCAAGTATCGTCCGAATTATGACAACAGTCTAGGTCACTAGTAATTATGTAATGAGTTCTGCCCAAAAAGATGGTGATGGTAACAGCAACTTTGAATAACGATTTCCAGTTTCAAATAAGAAAATTAAATCTGAATTCGATAATAACCGCACACCAGTACAATGCAGTAACGTATTATTAATCTGAATTCACTAATAACCGCACACCAGTACAGTGCAGTAACATATTATTTGTGTTTGTGGTTCTGCGATCTTCTCGATATAGCATTGAGTTTTAGAGTGACGTATTGGAAAGGATGTGAAGTAAGTGACCATGTCCTAATGGAGGTAGTGTCCTTGCGTTTGCTTGGAGGGACTGAGGAAAATTATTAGAAACCTAAGCTAGAATAGCAAGTGTACCAGTCAGGGTTCAAATGAAGCACTCCCAGAATAAAAGTGTAGAGTGTGAATCCTAAGCCATCATGCTTGGCCCCTGTGATCCACATATAAGGTAAAGTCAAATATCCGCACTTTTGCCATAACATATCTTTAGTAGTTACTATAGGATTCTGACGATGGTGTATAACACACTGATATATTGGGTTTTTGGACTTTATCCATGGATGATGGATAAAGTCCAAAAACCCAATATATCACATCTTTAGGTTTGTCACACTGCCTTCTGCACATGCATGCTTAGAGTTGGTACTGCTATGGTCACATGATCGAAGTTTGACCTTGATGCTGTGACAGTGTAAACATGGCCGCTCCAGTAGCTGTGTGCACCAAGGAGGAACCAAGAACAGTGATCAGATTTCTCTGGTTGGAAGGTGTGTCAGGGGCTGAAATTCATTGGTGGGTCCATCACTATGAGCCAGAATCCAAAAGCCAGAGTATGGCATGGAAAAACCTGAGATCACCAACGAAGAAGAAATTCAAGACTCAATCTTCTGCAGGAAAGTTGATGCTAACTGTTTTTTGGGACTCAAAAGGGCCTATACTGGAAGACTACCTGGACAAAGGGTGTATGATCAACAGTGCAAGATAGTGATTTGCTGGCCAACAATCTGAAGCCAGCAATTCGCACCAAATGCCGAGGCCTATTGTTGAAGAAAGTGTTGTTGTTGCATGACAATGCACGCCCACACATGGCTGGCCAGAATGTTGAAACCATTACCCATTTAGGTTTTGAGGTGCTGGAACACCCTGCCTACAGCCCACATCTCGCCCTTCCAACTATCATCTCTTTGGACAGTCAAAGATGCTTTACGAGGTCATCGATTTTCTACGGACAAAGAAGTGCGGGAAGCGGTGCATAAATGGCTGCACAACCGATCAAAACCCTTCTTCTTGGAGGGAATACGCAAGCTTGTGGACCACTGGACCAAGTGCATCGAAAAGGAAGGAGACTATGTAGAAAAATGACATACTTGTTCAACCCCTACTTTTGTGTATATAAATTGAAAAAACAAGAGTGCGGATAATTTTTTACTTCTCTACGCAGTATTTTACTGATTATTAGGTTTACATTACCTGAGCATTACAGTAACAGGAAAGCTGTTTGAGTTCTATCAAGTACTCCTTGTTCCCTCATTCCAGGAAGGGTACATTAAAATACAGCATGATCAATACTTGCAGCCTCATTGAGTTTTACATTGCACTGTAGTGTCCAGAGAATGCTAAGCAAACAAATCTAGCAGAGAGTTTGAAAACTGAACATTTTTTTTTATATTATAAAAGACCTTGTTTCTAGAAGGCAGACTTTTGTACTCAATTTCCTGTATTGTTAGCATTTATTTATCCATGTTAAAGTCAAATCTCTTAATCATTTTGTTTGATATTATTCACCACTAATGATTAAGAATTCTGGAGCATGTACCCATATTCAGAATGGTGTGTGATGTCATGCTTTGATTTACATTTCCAACAAAACCTTTGTCATGTCCAAGCATCATTTTCACAGCTCTTCATAGCAGTCACTACTGCTGCCTGTGATGACATGAGATATGTTTACAGTAGCTAGTTGCTTGAGTCGATCATGTAACCTGTGGGTCATTCCAAGTTGAACCAATACAACTGAGGGGTAACATTTTTTCTGATTCTGATAAAATTTTGCAAGCCTGTTGGGTCTCCTTCAGAAGAGGCCAGTAATAAATTTTATCTTCCTGTGTAACCATTAATTACAGAGGTACTGCCTTTTGATTTAAGTTTTCCTTAAAACTTCCCTAAGTATGTTCCGTGGTATTGGTTATATCAGGTCCTAATTAAGAGAGCTTGTTCACTGACTGAAACACCTTATGTTGGGCAATCATTTGGCATGCCATTTACAGTATTTTAAGCCACATCAGCATTTTCATCTGTATGTTTGACTTTAGTTTATGAGAAACATATAGCCAGAACATTTCTACATCCCTCTTATCACAGTATATCTTTCATGTGTTCACCTTCGCCAGACATTTTGTAGTTTCTGGCTTCAAAAGTGTTCTTGTTATTAGGTCCAAGAACTGCAGTGGGTCATATCCGTGATGAGGAATCGTGTTGCACCACTGGCAAACTATGTACCAGTCTTTGCATACTTAAAAAGCTACCTTTAATAGTTAATGTTTCTTAATTAAATGAAAAAGAAATTTTAGTATTTTAGGGAATAAACTTGATTCCTCCCCCCCCCCTTTCGTATCAATGTGGTGTTAAGTTTGTAGCTTACTGTAATCATAAGTCCAAGTGACTGACAGCAGTGTGTTACATATTATAAACACATATATGTATCTGTGTAGGATTTCAGGTTCTCACAATTGTAATTATAATAGTTCTGTCTTCTAGGATATAACATCATGTAGGCTGGTGACATTCAGCCAGAATTTTGGAGAAACATCTTGCTTCCATCTTCAGGGTTGAAGAGTAAGCCAAGCAAGAAGCCAGAATGAAGCAGGCTGCAAGTAGAGCTCATCAGCTTTCTGGGTCTTTGTACAGTTAGGTTACGAACCCTGCTTTCTTTGGCTACCCATGAACAGCAAGACTGTCCTTCCTTTTCAAGACTCCGTTCACTGTTTTTACTCTTGTAATCCCCTACCACATGTGTACAGCCCATACACACAGGACCCTTCTCCTGCCCTTCTCAGTTCTTTACTCACCCCACACATAACTTCTCCCCCCCCCCATAAACCAACTGGCCCTTTTCAGGGCTCGACCCAGTCACTCTTCCCTTGTCTCATATTTGCTCACCAAGTTATTCAGAGAGAGCAAGTGGGAACTGTCAGGCTGGTTTGCCATTTCTCTTTTGTGAATTCAACAGCTGACTTCCTCTGCTTGCCTGCTTTGTGCTGGGTACGTGCTTGTCTTACTTTTCAACCCAGAAGATGGAAGTGATGTGTTCTTCTAAAATATCAGTTGACACTCACCAGACTACACAGCGTTACATCCCAAGAAACATAAAGCTCTAAATATGTATCCTGTAAGTTGGTCATATCCTAACATAACATCTGTTACATTATTGCTTCAGTCAGAGTGACTCTTCTGGCATGAATGTCTACACAGTATAAGCTAGCTCACACCCCAACTATGGCTGATGCTCTGCTACCCTATCTTAGGCAGTGCCAT